CGAGCTCGCAAATGCGATATTTGTATCGTAAATGCAAAGATTGCCTGGGCTGCCTTGGTCGCAAATGCGACGTATCTATCGCAATTGCGATATCGCAAATGCAGCAGCTGCTTCGCAAATGCGAAAAGGGCAGGAATCCTTAGGGTTCGCAAATGCGATGAAAGCAGGTTTCTTAAAAGTTCTCCATTGCGAACCCTGGTCGCAATTGCGATATCAGAGACCTGCTAAAATGAATTTCAGACGGGATTTCAACCATTTTTACAACCTTTTCAAAACCTAAACACCTTTGGGCGATTTTTCAAAGACAACTACTCTTCCAAATCGATTGTAAGTCATTTCTAACTCGCTTTCTTCAATCTTTAACATCTTTTCACATGATTTCAACTTAAAATCAAGGGTTTTCATGGGGGAAATTGGGTGTTTTGGGTAGAACTTAGGTTTTTCAAATTTTGGGGATTTGGACCTTGATTTGAGGTCCGATTTCAAAACAAATTATATATTTGGGTTCGTGGGTGAATGGATAATCGGGTTCTGGTTCGAACCTCGGGTTTTGACCATGTGGGCCCGGGGTCGATTTTTGACTTTTTGGGAAAAACTTTAGAAAACCTATTTTCATGCATTAGAATTGATTCATTTAGCATTTATTGATATAGTTAAGTAACTTATGGCTAGATACAAACGAATTGGTGGTGGAATCAAGAGGTAAAGCGGTAGTTGAGGCTTGAATTGTGTCCGTGGCATCGAGGTAAGTGTTTGGTTTAACCTTAGCTTGAGGGATTAGGAGTCGTGTCTTATTTGCTATGTGCTAATTGTCGAGTACGACGTATAGGCATGGTGACGAGTATCTATACGTTGGTGTCAAGTATGCCCGTGAGTCTTATACTATGTTTAATATGACTCCGTTTTGTATTATTCATGCTTTATGTGATGATTTCCATTGTTGAACGAGGCTTGTGGAAGTAATATTGGTAATTGAACACTGAAGAGCGTTGGCTCAAGTTGTAAAATGATTTGTGAAAGTATTATTGGCAATTGAACATTATAGAGCATTGGCTCAAGTTGTGAATTGAGTTGTGAAGTAAATGTGAAAAAGAGAAGAGGATTATGATATTGTCTCCCTTGCCGGGATGTTATTGCTTTTAATGTTATCTCCCTTGCCGGGATGTTGTTATTTTTAAAGGTTTTCTCCCTTGTCGGGATGTTGTTGCTTTTGATATTGTTTCCCTTGCCAGGATATAATTGTTGTACTATTGTTCCCTTGTCGGGATTTTTATTGTGATTTTATTTATTTCCTTGCCCTTATTGTTTGTGATTGTTGTTTGGGTGAGGAAGAGTGTTAAAGCACGAAGGGTGATGCCGTGCATTGTATTGGTGAGAGAGTGTAAAAGCACGAAGGGTGATGCCGTGCATGATATTTGTGAGAGAGTGTTAATGCACGAAGGGTGATGCCGTGCCGCACGATATACCATTCCGTGCCTTTATATGAGTGATAATGCACGAAGGATCATTCCGTGCCATGATTATGTGAGGTAAAAGCACGAAGGGTGATGCCGTGCCGATTATATTGATTCTTATGGTGAGGACAAAAGTAAAAACACGAAGGGTGATGCAGTGAACTTGTCCTTGATTTTCCTAATTCTTGCTGATAATTGAGTTATGGTGTTCTTTACGTTTATTCCCTGATTTTCTGTTGTTACTTGATTTTATTGTGATGTCATTGATTCCCTTGCCCAAATTGCTTGTGATCGTTGCTTGGGTGAGGAAGAGTGTAAAGCACGAAGGGTGATGCCGTGCACGATATTTGTGAGAGAATGTTAAGGCACGAAGGGTGATGCCGTGCACATTACTTGTGAGAGAGTGTAAAGCACGAAGGGTGATGTCGTGCACTTGTCTTTGATTTCCTGATTTTTTTGTGATAACTGAGTTATGGTTTGTCTACATTTAAATGTTTGTTTTCTTTGATACTTGTTGTTCCCCGCAACATGATTTCCCCTTCCTATCTTTAATTGTAAAGTTTGCCTTTATTTTCTGGGATATATGATTTAACTGCACAGGTTTACTTGGTAGTCTGGTCCTAGCCTCGTCACTACTTCCCCGATGTTAGGCTAGGCACTTACCAGCACATGGAGTCGGTTGTGCTGATACTGCACTCTGCCCTCTTTTATGCAGATCCCGGTACTGGAGCATACTGACCTTAGCTTTGGGTCACTGCCTTCAATCTATTCGGAGACCCGAGGTAGTCCTGCAGGCGTCCGCAGGCCTTGGCATCTCCTTCTATCCCTTCATTCTGTTTCTTTTATGTATTTCAGAGACAGTGTTGTAATTATCTTTCGAATCCTTATTTGTAGTATTCTTAGACAGTCTATGAAATTGTGGCACCAGTTCTGGGTAGTCTATGTTTAAGGAATTGTATTGGTAATATTTAAATGGTTATAATTTGTTCTTCCGCTTATTTAATTCTGCTGATTATATAATGTTGATTCATAACTATTAAAGGATTAAAAATGAGAAAAAGGTAAATAGTTGAAATAATTGGCTTGCCTAGCTTTCACTAGTAGGCGCCATCACGACTCCCGAGGGTGGAAATCTGGGTCGTGACACACCTGCGGTCGCGCAGGTGCGCCAAAACTTCCGCTCCTGCGGATGGCTGGGCTGCCCTCACTTGTTCGCTTCTGCGGCTCGTGGATTGCACCTGCGAGCTCGCACCTGCGGCTGGCCAAGCGCAGGTGCGATTATGACAGCAGCTGGGAGCTTCAGCTGTTGCTCCCAATTTCCAACTTGGCCGAGCCTCGTCCGGTTGACCCTCGGGGCCCCCGGGGTCCCGCCCAAACATACCAACAAGTTTAGAATCATAAAAAAAGACTCGCTCGAACTCTTGAAATGCCCAAAACAACATTAAAACTAAGAATCACACCCCAAAATCAATTGAATCAAACTTACGAACTTCAAGTCCTTCAGTTTACTCCCAATGTGTCGAAACGTACTTAAACTACTCTGAATGACACCAAATTTTGCGTGCAAGTCTTAAATGATATTGCGGAACTATACCTGATCTTGGAATTCCGTTTGAACCTCGATTTCACCAAAACCCGCTCCAAACCAAATTTAAAGAACTTTTAAAACCTTCAAAGAACCAACTTTCACTATTAGGCGCCAAAATGCTCCCGGGTCATTCAAAACCCATCCGAACATACGCGCAAGTCGGAAATCATCATGCAAATATATTGGAACCGTCAAATCCCGATCCCGAGGTCGTTTACTCAAAATGTTGACCGAAGTCAAACTTGGCCTTTTTAGCCAACCTAAAGGAACCAAGTGTTCCGATTTCAACCCGAACCCTTCCAAATACCGAACTAACCATCCTCACAAGTGATAAAATAGTAAAAGCAAATACAGAAGTATTATTTAGGGGAAAAGGATTCTAGAAAGCAAAAGGACTGGTCCATTCCACTCTATGCTTCTCAACAATCTTGTCCATCTTCTTCACCTCCTTTTTAAGATGAGTTACTCTAACTTCATGATAGCTAGGAGACTTTATTCCTGGGCCATATTATCCTATGGCCTTAATGAATTTATCAAAAGTTTTGTAGTTAACAGAATTAAAATGGAGCCTGCATCGTACATCCATGTTGCAAAATCACTTACAGGTTGATCCCTCAAAATCTTCTGGGCTCCTGAACCAGAATCACCGTTTCCCTTTACTTGTTGTTTTGTCGAGAAATAAAGATTGAGAGAACCTTTTGCCACCGTACATGCCGTGGATGATCCACTAGATATCTTTTGAGTTTTGGGTGGGGGGGGGGGGGGGGAGGGCCCATTTCATTATCTTCATCAATAAGATTCACATACGCTTCCTAACTCATTTGAGTTATTATCACATTTTTCTTCTCAACAAATGTTTTTACTTCCTCCCTAACATCAGCCGAACAAAGAGGACATTGTACTACATTTTTAAATCCACCAATCAATGTTGTTTGTGACAAGTTATTCTACCATGGTATGTTTTTTCACAAAATACACATTTAATTGTGGATCTTGTTGAGCCTTGTATAGAATAATTTCAAGCTATATCGTTTCTTTTATTACCAACGGATGACGCAATTTCAATACTGTTTTATAGGGAAAAGTTATTAAGTCAATATGCAATTAATTCCGGTTAAAGTGTAGCCCCTAAAAGTTTCAGCATCCAAACCCAATTTACAGCAGCAGATGCAACACAGTATACAAGTAGAACATGTATTTAGCGAGTATAGTAGCATGACAACTTTAACCAGTTTACACTTTACATCGTAGTATACCAGTTTATTTTGGGAAAGCTCGAATAGAAAAGAACGATTCATGATAGGGCCTTCCTTTATTACAGATCATGTGAGTTCCTTGTTGAAGGACCATAATTTTCAATTCCAGTCATTTCCTTCTGTTAATTTGACCAAATTAGCTCAATATTATTAGACACTCGGGATAATATATGCTCAACTGTATATTTAAAGGATTAAAGTGAATCAACCCCAAAACTTAATTAAAAGGATAATATTAGTAAAACCTCAAGGTCCAAACAACAGAATTATTAATGTAACCATAAAATTTGAGTAAAGAATACATAGGACCTTGACCTGGTCTGTCATTTGATTGCTATTTTGCTTAAGAAATCTGGCAGGAAGGACTTTCACATGCTAACATCATCATCACATAGAGCTAACAGTTGAGCAACAAGTCTTCAAGCTATATTTTTCAGTTGCTTTTCGTCATGCTTCCTCCCTTTTTTTGTTGAGGGGATGTGGCAGAATATGGTGTTCATTTTACACCAAAGCTTTCAAAATTTTGTTTTTGAGCCCTTTGAATATGTTCCGAGTTCAGACAATTGCTTATCTATTTGTATGAGAAAATGACTTGTCAGATGATTTACTGTTTCTAGCTGGTTGAATTCTTCGGAACATATTTTGTTTTTTCGCTCATTGCTTGATAGAGGGCAACTACTCAAAATCCCTCGATATCTAGTGATGAGGCGTAAAAAGCATTTTCACCATCTAGACGAGTATGGAGTTGACTTGATACTTGGCCGCAATGGATTTATCTGTATTGGGGAGCATGAGGTAGGATCTGTATCGGGGAGCATGAGGTAGGGCGGCTCTAGGGTAAAGCAAATGAAGCTTTTACCTTAGGCCCCCAAATATTTAAGGCTAAAAAATATGAAGTACTGGTATATTATTATATTATATATGTAATTTATATTTATATAATTATAAATAAAATATTTTAAATTTTCTTAAAATTTGGTAGAGGTAGGATTGAATGAGTTAATAGGATAAATTTTTTCTCTCGCTAAATTAAATAATATTTTTATATTCTCCTCAATTCTATTTTTCTTTCCTTCTTTTTTCATATTTTTTGCTATTTTACTTTCAAATTTTAACTCAGATTCTCTAACTTAGCTATTCTTTTTTGTCACATTTGATTGATCCACACATCAGAAAGCAAGTTCTTTTGCGTCTCATTTTTTTTTAACTAAGAAATCTTCGAGACAAGTGTCATAAGGTTCAAAACAAGATCGATTATAGGCTCAACCTTTTTACCATTTTCACTTAAATATTTTTTTATAGGGGAGAGTTCAATACCATATAACGTGCGCCTAACCCACATATTATATGTTGTTCTCTCACACTTTTTTTGTCTCATTATTATATGGATTTTATGAAAGAAATTTCACGGTCTTTTAATATATTTTAGTTTCAAGCCACCAGTTCCGTTGAGCCGTGCTGATTAATTATCAACAAGTATTTATAGATCGATGTCCTATGAACGTGTTACTCAACCAGCTTCATTCATATCTGGTAACTAAATAACACATTCACTGATTGTTGTTTTATCTTAATTGAGACTATAAAATTTGATTGAGAATGCTCAAGTAGGAGATTAGTAACGCTTTGATTTAGATTTCCAAAATTTCTTAATAAAGGATTTTATGATTTTATTTCAAGTTAGACAATAATAAAGTTTTCCAAAAAAAAGTACAAAAACCTTAGACAAAAGAAAGAAAGAAAGAAAGATTATCCACTCTTTAACACTAAAAATACTTTAGAACTTTGAATTAAATTACTTAAATCTTCGCATTTGTAAATATATTTTTTACAACAATATCAAAGGTAACATATTGAATATACATGTCTAACATATTATTTATTTAAGTTACCTCTTATTAATATAAATAATAATACTACTCTGTGAAGTTAAAGATTTTATCATTTAGAATGTTATACTATAAATAACAAGTGTGAAAAAAATGTCAACACTAATTTTTTTCTGCATATGTGTGTACATATATACTAATAAAAAAGTATAAGGTCTCTTATTAAAATTTGGCTTTAGGCCACTGATTTTATGGAGACGCCCATGGGTAGAGGATCAAGTGAATGAGTCTGATCCACAGAACACTCATTCAGGAAGCTTACTGAATTTTGGTAAAACAAATACTTCTACATCAGCGGAAAAAAGACAATATATATACAGGATAGCAAAGACAATATATATGCAGGATAGCAAATGCCATCAGGGTATTCTCTGCTTTTGGCTTCATGGTATCTGTAGAGGATGTAAATGAGACAGTTGACTTGAGCTTGTCTTTGGGATATGGTGTATATGAGATGCTTGGAGCAGAATACCATTATGAAGTTGTTGATAAGAAGCTGTTACGAAAGAACTTCTTGAAAAAGAAGAGGATAGTTTAGTAACAAGATATCATTTATATTTGTCTTTCATGATTGTACTGTATTGCTACTCTTTTTGTTTGTCAGTTTCTAATGTTTCCTCATCCCAATAAACAATAACTAAGGGAAATTGGCCGTGAGGCATGAACTAATCTTCAGAATGATGTTCGAGCACTTTTATTTTGAATTTACGTTGTATGTATCTTTTTCAAAAGTTAGCAAAAAGTACATAGACTGAAGTAAACTTGAATTCTAATATTGTGTTTGACCAGCGGAGTACTTTTTTCTAGTATTTGGTAAACATATTGTGCTTGACCAGTCTTTTCAAAGTGTTTGTGTAAAAAGAAATGTTATGACATACATTGTATGTGTATACGGTCAAAATTAGGGAAGACCGATTTGAGGCTTCTATGGCAGTTCGAGCCCGGTCTCGATGGGATCAAGGCACAGTCCAAGGCCCGTCCCGGAAGCACTCGCCTTGGCAGGGTACTCCGAAGACTCACCACGGTGTACCTCGAGGCCATATGAAAACCGACGACCGTCATGGAAATGCGGGAAACCCCCCGGGGCACGCGATGAGGACTAACAAAGTCTGCAAGAATAGTACAAATTCGTACTGAGTCATTATACAATTGTACTAGTAGAATTTCTTCGTCATTTATTAGACATGTACTGTGTTGGGATTCACCCTTCCTATATAAAGGAGACCCTTGTCATTTTGTAACACAACATATTGAATAACATACAACATTCTCTGCTCTCTTTGCTAAACCAACTGTTCTTCACATTTATTGCTTATTCTTTCATTATTCTTTCATTGTTCATTTATTGTTCTTCATTTATTGCTCATTATTAACCGTAAAAGGCCATATTTGAGGTCTTCATTATCATTGATTCTTTATTAATAGTGCATCGCTATTAGCCCCATCCAGACCTCGAGGCCTTGCTACAGCCAGCTCGAGGCCCAGCCTTGTGACCCTATTGGTTTGCATATCTCATTCTCTTTACTTAAGCTTAGCATCTATTGCGCAACAACTGGTATTAGAATAAATCACGTATTTTTAGAACTACAAAATCAAATATAATTGTAGTTACTATTTTCAAGGTAAAGAGTTTGGCGCCCACCGTGGGGCTAAAAATAATAGTGATTGTCTTGGTGCTAGTTTTCTGAAAACACAAGTTGTTCTTCACACTTTTTCTTGTCCAAGAATCTTTGATTTTAGGTCAAAATGTCTAACTCAGCAAATGCACGCGAAAACAACGGTATTGGGCTTCAGGGAGAAAATGGTGCAGACGCCGGTGTACCACCGCAAAACCTAGGGGAGGCACCAGCACAAATCGCCATCGACGTGAGCTCACGGAACGCTGTGCATGTCGACGTAAGCTCTCATACCGATGGAAGTGTGCGTGGCGAGGAAAGGGACGTTAGTCTTCAAGTCATTTTAGAAATGTTGCAAGCACAACAAGTGGCTATTCCTCAGCTACAAAGTCACCAAAAAACTCCAAGCACAGTAGCATCGGAAACGGCTCCTCGAGTCGAGCAGGCACCGGAGAGATCGAGTAACAATGGGTCAGCAACAGACCCCGCTATTATCATGATGCTCGAGGACCTCACCAAAAGGATTGAATCAGGAGAAAAGAAGATAGAGGATAACGATAAAAAGGTGGAGACTTATAACTCGAGGGTCGATCAGATCCCAGGCGCACCTCCGATCCTGAAGGGCGTAGATTCAAAGAAGTTCATACAGAAACCATTCCCACCAAGCGCGGCTCCGAAGCCCATCCCGAAGAAATTCAGAATGCCCGATGTCCCGAAGTATAATGGGACCACAGACCCCAATGAGCACGTTATCGCTTACACTTGTGCCGTTAAAGTGAATGACTTAGAGGACGACGAGATTGTATTCGTCTTGTTGAAGAAATCTGGAGAGACACTGTCAAAGGGGGCCATGATGTGGTACCACAACCTACCCTCGAACTCGATAGATTCATTTGCCATGTTGGCAGACTCTTTTGTGAGGGCACATGCCGGTGCCATCAAGGTCGCCACCAGGAAGTCCGATGTCTTCAAAATCAAGCAAAGAGAAAACGAGATGCTAAGGGAATTTTGTATCTCGATTTCAGATGGAGCGAATGGAATTACCACCGGTCTCCGATGACTAGGCGGTGCAAGCCTTCACTCAGGGCTTGAACGAACAAAGCTCGGTAGCTTCAAAGTAGCTAAAACAATATTTGATCGAATATCCCGCCGTGACTTGGGCGGATGTGCACAACAGGTATCAATCGAAGATCAGGGTCGAAGACGACCAATTAGGAGCCCCCTCGGGCTCTGTGTTTCCTAGCATGCACTTAACAAAGGAACAAAGGTTTGCACAAAGGGAGTCGAGATCGAACAATGAAAGATACCGGCCTTATGTAGAAGATCGAAGGAACGCCCCGAAGCGTAATGTGCCTCGATGCGATCGAAGGTCAAATCGAGGTAAGTTTCCCGGGGACTCATTGATAACTGTGATTTTAACATGTTTTATGCCCATACTTGCCTATGCTTTATGTATGAATTGTCATAAAATAGACCCAGGATGCTTACAAAATGCGCTTGATTGCAGGTTTGAGCGACAAGATGAAAAAAGTCAAAAATCGGCTCGAAACGGAGTGAAACCTACTCAAGTGTCAAAAATCATTGAAGTGAGGACAAGAGGACCTAGTGCGGACCGCACTGATTGGCTGCGCGGCCGCGCTAGGAGATTCAGAGAGTATACATTTTAAGGGTTTCCATGCGCGGTCCGTGCTCCTTTCTACGCGGTCAGCGCTTGTGCCCACGCGGTCGCGCTTCATTGTTGCGCGGTCCGCGCCCAATAGCCTGTGCGGCCGCGCTACCTCCTTGCGCGGTCCGCGTCCCCAGCTTCAGAAGTGGGTGATCGAAGTCCAAGACCCCTACGCGGCCGCGCTGCATTTCTGCGCGGTCCGCGCCAGCCCCGCAGGCGTATTTTTGTCCAGTTTTTCTAGCCTAGTATAAATAGAATATTTTATTATTTCTAGGTTAAGTATTAGATATCAGATAGCTGCTGCACTCGTGAGACGAAAGTTTTAGCCTATTTTGGGCATTTTCATCTTGTTTTATCGTGGATTCTTGTAGATTAACATTCTAATTAATTATTATGTTGATTTTATCTACTACTTCTTCAATTTCTGTTGCTATTATGTCTAGCTAAACCCTTAGCTAGAGTTGTGGCTCAACCTAGTGTGGGTAATTAATGGGTGTGATTGTTTAATGCTTGAATGATGTTGGGTGTTTGCTATTTGGGTTAATTTTATGATTTAACTAGGATTTGGTGGTTGCAAACACTAAGTCTAGCTTAGTGGGTCTTGACTCTTCTTGAGAAAGAGTGTCTATGACTCCAAAATTAACCCAACAAGGAATTGGGATGGACCCATGAGAATGGTAGTCCCAATTAACGGGTTAAACCTCGAGAGAGTAATTACCCAACTTGAACCCTAAGTTGCTTGGGCTTGTTGGCCTACCCAATTGGTCTCGAGAGAGTCAATTGGGCAAAATCACTCTTTCTACCGAGAGGTGTGAGAGTGAGTGCAATCGTGCAACGGCTATAGCATAAGCCCCATAATCATCATTCTTGTATTAGGAATCTCTACCCGTTAGTTGACCACCTAGGTAAATGCCACGACCCTAGTGTCTTTCTCTATCTTGCATACAACCTAGAATTACTATCTTAGCATAATTTGGTTATAATTAGTAGTTGTTACATTGTAGTTGATAATCATAAAAACCCAAAAATGATAGAAGATCAATTAGAAGTAAACACGCATTTCTAGACTAAGCAAATATCCAACTCCCTTTCTAGCTCCCTGTGGAACTTGACCCCGATACCACTATTGGGTAAAAGTATTAGCGCCCACTCTTCCTAAGGTTGAGTCCGCTGCGATCACTTTTTGGCGCCGTTGCCGGGGAGCTTACGGTGTTGACTATTTGTGTAGCTAGTTTTGTGTTTTGCTTCTCTTTCCTTCTTTTTACTAACTTTATTTGTGTTGATCCATCAGGTACACATGGCTCTAAACGGAAATGACCCTCTTGGCAATGCCTTGGCGGGGGAGGAGGTTGAAGATGTTGAGCAAGATGAGCTTCCGGTACCTCAAGTACCACGGAGAGGTAGAAATGCCAATGCTAATGTACATGACAACAATCCTATTCCAGACCCTCCTCCGCCACCGCCAAGAGCGGTCCCAAGAGTTCTTCCTAATCAAGGGTACGCGAGTGCCATCGTTCCTCCCCGAATCCGGGCGGGGAACTTTCAAATCACAAATGTCATGTTGACCTTGCTCGAGCAAAGGGGATATTTTACGGGCGCCTCCGACCAAAATGCATACAAGCACTTGAAGGGGTTCGTAGATACTTGCTGGGGCAGCAAACAAACAAACGTGTCAGAGGATGCGTTGAGATTGAGGCTTTTCCCGTTTTCTCTTCGGGGCAAAGCGTTGGACTGGTTAGAAAGGTTACCAAATCATTCTATCACCACATGGGATGAATTGGCGGACAAATTTATTGCCAAGTTCTTTTCTCCAAGTCATATGGCGGCTCTTCGGGACGAGATTCTAGCCTTTAAGCAAATGCCAACGGAACCATTGCATGAGATCTGGGAGCGATATAGAACAATGGTGAAGGAATGCCCTAACAACGACATGACTGAGGCGATGATCCAACAGACTTTCTATAGGGGCATCAACACCACAAATCAATGCATTGTGAACCAATTGGCCGGTGGGAACTTTATGAAACTTTCTTACCAAGAGGCATGTGATGTACTTGATGAAATGGCGGACACCTCTTCGGCATGGCAAAGCCGAGCGAATGTACCCCAAGGTGACCCCACGGTCATCCATTTGCATAAGGAGTTGAGTGATCACGGCCAAGCTATTGCCGAACTTACAACAACAATGAATCAGTTGGCGAAGGCGCAATTGCAACAAGTACAAAACCCGCGCCAAGTCAATGCAATGGAGAATGT